CGTTAGTTCTGCTGCAATTAAACTGCAGACTGTTGGTGTCCGTATTCATTTAGTGGGTTTCGGAAAACTTATCATGGCGAACACATATATTTCCAAATTAAAAGAAGATACTAGAGAATATTAATGTCGGCAGCGTGGGGTATTTCCTAAGCAAGTTTAGTCAGTGCAGCCATTACAACAAGCGTAAGTTAAATTTATTACGTCAATTTAAACAATAAATTTTATTGCTGAAAAACAGTATATAAAGTACTGTAAAATCTAAGCATTTTTTGCAAAAAATTAATAATACAAATTCTTCGCTGCAGCAGGAATATTTATAATACGAAATTTTTTATGCTTTTCGATATGTATTTTAAAGTTGAAATTAACAAATGAATTTCTTTTATAATTAAATTTCTAAATTTTGGCAGTTAATTTCGCGCCTTTTTTTTTTTTTTTTTTTTTTTTTTGTTGTTCACTTGAGGCAAATGCCTCGCTTGCCTCACCCTTACACGTTCTGTGGTTATCGCTTAACAAACTATGCGTTTTAAAAAATGAAATCGAACTTCTTAATAGTTTAAATCTCTTATTTCTTTAATACCATATTTTTCTTTCGAATTTTTTCAAATTTAAGATCAGCTCTCCCCCTCCAAAAAAACTTTGATAATAAGCAAATATGCAACTAAAATGAATGAAATAAAAAGTTCAAATATAATTAACAAATACATTTTTATTTATCGACTTCAGTTTATTAGCATAAACGAATGTTAAAACAATAGCATATCTATTTGATTTAGCGCTTTGAGAAAACTAATTACTTCAAAATAATCAGCAATTCGTAAAAATCAACGATTGCGATATGTATTAGATTTTAAGACACACAACGTTGTTTATACGAAAAAAAAAATGCACTTACGATTAAAATATGAAGTAATGTGTAAAGTGCTATAGTTTAAAATGTACTTTAATTTACAATGTATCCAGTCGACACCAGAATTTTCCGTAGTATCTAAAATCTACAGAATTTCCGCAGAATTGTATATTTAAACACAGAATTGTTTTTTTTTTTTTTTTTTTTTTTTTTTTTTCCCTCTAATAATATTTTATTTGTATTATGTGAGGTACACTAATTTAAAATATATTTATCAATGCAAGTAATTATATATTTCTTATGGTTCTTATACACAGAATACTTTCGAAGCGATTCCCTCTATTAAAGACCGGTACTTCTAAGAACTTAAGAAGGGATTATTATTCACTTCTCGTGTACTGCAAAATGTCGTAAGATTATATTATAATAATTTTTTTAATTCTTTTTTTTATTAACGGATATATAGTTTAATCTAATGTTTTTTAAAAACGTTTTATTACAAATATGTAGCAATATCAAAAGATGACGAATTTACTGAAATGAAACCGTGAAATTAAAGTATATAAATCACGAAGCATTGGAGGAAATTACGCTCCAGCATCTGAAATAAGAAAATATGAGACAAAAATTAAAGATGTCACAAAGAAACATTTGACATTAAAATTATTGTTAAAAACCAATTTATTGTGCTTATTGTTTTAAATTTCGATAAACACGAGAAAATGGAATCAATTCGGAGGGGGAAAACAACACAAATACAATTATCAGCATCTTTCGCTTCTCTTTTTTTCTTTTAGTCTCTCTTTCTTCGCCCCTTCTTTCAGGGTCATTGACCGATTGGTTAGAGAATCTCCTTGAATTCCCTTCCCTTTTACAACACTTACTTTCTTAACTTTTTTATTTCATATATTTTTTTAAGGTTTTCTGAATGGAGTAAAAGTAGGTCACTAGTGAACTTGATCTTTTCTCTTAAAAAAATGTAGAGATTTTTCTATTTCCCCCCTTCCCCCGGCCTGATGTTATTATTATTGTCGCCGCTTCCCGACACCCTTGCCCCCTCCATCGCCTACTTCCTCGTTTTTCTTGAAGAATCTCCCCTCTTACCCCTACCATGGAAAAGGGAAGAGTAAAAAAATAAATAAATAAAATAAAATAAATTGAAAAAAAAAACATTTAGTAGCAGTCACATTAAAAGGTTTTATGCATATATATATATATATATATATATAACTTTCTCGATTTTGGTTGATTTAAGGAGGTTTTTATTTATTATTTTTTTAACATTTGTTTCGATTCGTTTGTCCTTTTGGAAAGGAACAGTGATCTGTCGCTATTGACGGGAAAATTATTATTCTTTTTCTCATGAATGTCAGATTTTCTGCCGAACTCGGTGAATGATTACAAGCTTCAACCGGTTTATTAATCACCTCATAGTGTGGAAACAACTTCGAAGTAAAATAATAATAATAATAAAAAACTGCAATCAAATATTCCATAATAGCCTTAATAACTCGAAGAAAAATTTACCAAAAATTTCAAAAAATTAAATAAAATAAATAATTTAAATATATGTATCTTGCGTCTCTTCTTAAAGGAAAATATTACCTGCTGCTGCCAACTTGTAGAACGAAACTTTTAATGCTGATTTTCAATAACTAAAAAATGGAGGCCTGCAGTATACATTTTATGAAAAAACTTTATCCTAATCAGTTTTACTTTTAATGCGAATGAAATGTGTGCAAATAGAAGTTTATTATTTAAAGTTACGAGTTTATACTTATTATGAAGTATCATAAACCTTTCTCCTTTGCGATATTGATTTGAAATTGATTTTTGTGACAATTATGGTCTAAAACAGTGATTCTTAAAATTTTCATAGATTGTACACCTTGTTCATGAATAAAAATCTAAAATTCATGATGTTTTTAATCTGTCGTAAAAAATATATCCAATAAAAAATCTCAGATCAATTAACAATGACGTTCTTAATATCTTTAGATAATCCTTTATTGAGAACAATAATTATCATAAATGGAGGTAAAATAAGAAATATAATCTTTCGTTGTCGAAAATCCGTAGAAAGTTATATATTTTCTTTGGAAATTGCTTCAAAAACTTAAGAATAAAAAGAGAAAACAGATTTTCTAATAATAATTCTGGAGAAGAGAGATTACATATTTTCAGCCATTTCAGTGAAAAGGTGTACCAATACGGGTTATTTCTGTTAGCCAGGTGAAGCTTCCAACCGAAGGTTTAGCTCTAGATTTATCCTGTAACATTACCTATTTTATTTGCTGAACCTTGGATGAAGAATCGCCTTACATAGGTAACTTTCGGAGTAAGGCTTCACAAAGTTAAATACACGGCCAGCATTCTGAGAAAATATTTCGCGAAAAATCACTTTTATTTTATTTATTTATTTATTTAAAAGTTAATTTAAATTTACTCTTATATATTTAAAAGTTAGTTTAATTTAATTAATTTATTTTATGCATTTAATATTATTTTATTATATTATAGCATTTATTTATTTTAATAAAAAATTAAGTAATTTTCATATTTTAAATTAAAGTTTTTATTTAATCATTTTATATATTTATTTAAAAAGGAAAAAATTCATCTTAAAATGATAGAGAGAAATACTAAAGCTTCTGTAGTTAAAAAAAAAAAAAAAAATCTAGACTTTACAGATTATATATATATATATATATATATATATATCTATTATATATATATAATGTTGTGAACTTAAATCCATTTAGTGCGAATACAAGTTATTATTACTTGCGCAATTGCTGCAAAGTTAGTTAATAATAATTTATTTCCTAAACATATTGATTAATTGATTATATTATCTCCTAAGTTTAATTAAAGTAATTATTTTAAAAGTGTGCATCCATACTGGTAAGTTATATTTTGAAAGATGTTTTGAAGTAATTTGAAAGCAAAAATGTTATAATGTTTTAACGGGGACTGGAGTTAAATCATCACGAAGAATAATATTACAATTGTAAAAGTAAAAATTAAAACATGTAATTATTGTCATTGATCGGAAATTAGTTGACTTTTCAAGGGGAACAAACCAACTCTCGTTCAATGATCAATAATTGATAGAAATACGTAAATATGAAAGTGTTTCGTCTTTACTCGAGTTATAAGTTAAAGCCAAACCGGCAATTCTAGTCAGGCCAAATATTTCCGCGAATAGTTGTTACTCAAAGAACTGATTCTCATGAAGCATTTTAGTCAATTCAATTTGGAGTAAAAATCAATTACTGTAGAGAAATCTTGTAAAACTCGTAACTTGTAAAACTTTTATATATATATATATATATATATATATATATAAGAACTTTTTAATATTAATACATTTTATTTATTTACACTAATCGTATCAAATAAAACTCTAACTTTAACGCAACATTTTAATCTTGAAATAATTCACATTGCTATGTTGATGAAAACCCATTTTGAAGATCTTGTGTCTCGTAAACTGGCAACTGCTCCTAATATGTGACGTATAAAAACTTCTAAATGAAAATAATAACACTAATCAAAAGAGATAATAACAGAATTTAAAATTATATTTAAATGCTAGCATATTAATTGTGAAACATTAAATGATTTTTAGACCTCTCAAAGAACAAGTTTTATGGTAATGAAATAAAAATTAGGTGAATAAAATTTCAGAGATTATAAAACAATCTGAAACATGAGGTTAAATGCAGTTAAATATCATAACTAAAGGAAGCCTATTAATCTTTAACTGATGAACTTAATGTATTTAGTTGTTCTCAATAAAATCATAACATTACCCTTATTGTAAGCCCCTTCCCCTCCTAGCTTCATCAGAGAAATAAAAATTGATAAAAGTAAAAAAATGTGGTAAATAATAATTAAAAATTATGAAAATTTAAATGAAAACTAATTAAATTTAATTAAAATTATGAAATATTAAGATAGCAGTACATAACAGACCCAGTGGAAGTCTTAGAAATATATCATCTTACTGATGTTGAGATACGTAACACACAGTTACAGCAGCTTTATATATGAATGGCTAGATCATAAAACTAAAAAGTGGCACTAAGATTGAATTTTAAAGTATTCAATAAAGTAAAGTAAACAATAAAACAAAGACAAATAACATACTTTTTTCTGGATCCACCTTGAGGGCTGAGTTCTCGCTTTCCTGCAAAACAAAAAGAAAAAAATTTAGACAAATACCAAATCAAATCAAAGATAAATTAAATTAAATAAATAAATTAAATCTGAATGATTTCAGATTTTATATTACGCCCAAAGGGGTGTTTATATAGTTTTGTGTGTTACCTTTTTTTAAAAAAATTTAATATCATCTTCGCATTTAAACCATAAAATTCAATTCAACAGCAACATCACAAAATATTTAAAAAGAGCATATCTTGAGAATTTTCGATACACAGTCTTGTGCGCTGGAGACAATTTTTTTTTTTTTTTTTTTCCGTACAGTGTTGCCATTGCTCGCTTTGAAATCATTGAGTTTGTTAATAAAAAATTCGTTAAAGTTTCACAAAATATGAAATGGATAATAAAACAAATTCTAGATTTGGGCTTCTAGATGCCCATATTCGGAAGGAGGACTACGCTATTCAAAATTTGATGTCTCAAGGTACCGCTGTTTTTTTCACAATGCGAGAAACATAGATACATTCATGCAGATTCTTCATTATTTAATTTCTTTAATCACAATGCAGGTCTCTAATATTTGGTGGCAACAATTTGAAAAGTGAAACGCTATTTTATAGTGGACGACGCAAAATGCCAAAACGAAATTAATAACCCTTCTGGACAATTGCCCATTTGGTCTAATAAAAAATAAAACTTGAAGATTTGAAAACTAGATTAAAAACATACGAACACTAAATTAACTTTTCATGTTAGACTAATTAAAAGCACTGGTTAGTAAACAAGCATATACTAGAGAAAAAATTTATTCATTTTTTTTACTTCTTGAAAGGTCTACTGTTTTTACTTTGCGAAGGAAATCTTCCTGACGAAACAAATGCTTACAATCCCATGCAACACAAGACCTCTCATTGAGAATTATTACAACATATTACTTAATATAATGAAATGAGTATTTACAAAACAACTTAGCCAATAATATTCGAATAATTAAAGCCACGAAGCCTTGTATACACGAAAAAATCGCGAGGAACTCGGGACCTCCCAACTGAAAGCCGAGATCTGCTTCCCAGTTATACAACAAAGGTTCGCAGTGAAAAAGGGAGTAAATTCCTTACAGTACGCTTGCAATTAAACGGGTTACATAGGGTTTATGTTGTTTTTGCTATATGCAACGTAAATATGAATCGGTTTCCTCGATATCTTCCCTTTGGTTAGGCAGAGAGTTTTAACGTTCTTTAGCAGAATTAAATAACCTAATATATTTATTTATTTCTGTTATCAGAGTTTTAAATATGTTTATTTAGTTAATAGTAAAAAAAATTTTTTTTTCCAATGGCAGATTGTGAACAATTACAAATGTAACCCAGTACATTCATCTATACAAGGCCGGATGTGGAGGTCTCTTTATTATGGAGGCACCTGATAGGTGGGCCTCCATCGCCTTTCCTACGAAGGGACGGACTGTTACAATCATGCCTTCTCCGGGATTCGAACCCAGGCCCTTCGGCATCGCAATCAGCTTCCCTGACCACTATACCGACTGGGCAGCAACAGTAAAAAACTACATATATTTATTTTCCAAGTCTTCCATTGCGTGATCCACGTCTCTATAAACAACTTCATATTTGCTCACTGAGATTCGAGAAACAGGCGCTTCAAAGATTAAAATTTGTTTGCACTGGATATTAACTACCACAGATACAGAGTTTACATAAGAAAGATAAATATCCTCCTATTAATTGTAAATAAACATGCAAGAAAATAAAAAGAAATTACGACCAATCAATCAAAATCTTTTCTTAAAAATTCGTATCACATTTTTTCCACAACAAATACATTCGTAAAGGAACCGTTGGAGTACTACCATAGCAGTCTACTAGACGGCATCAAAAGATATAAGCGCAAATCTTCCAACAGATGCTGAAGTCCAGTTTGAAAGAAGTATGAGTGTGGGACTACTTCCTAAGGGTGTCCTCACTCTTATGGGCGTCGGCCGCGGTTGGTAAAGACAGACAGCTTCATAAGAGTGTCCCGACCTAGAGGTGCGCAAGTTGACTTATGAAAACAATTTCTAACTTGAAAAAAAGGCGACCTTCATTAAGGATGCGGGCACTTTTATGCGGGGCATGAAAAATATTACTTTTAAACAGACAAAATGTGGTGTAGATATTTCAGAACAATTAAAAAATTAATTAAAAAGCGTTCGTAGTTGTTGCAATTTTACAGAACAGCCGTTTGTGTGTTAGCCGTTATGTAAAATGATTTTAATGCGTCCGGCTGTAATCAATTACAATAGAAAGAAAAACCATTTATTAGTATAAATCGCATAGTTTGTTAAAACAGACTTATTAAATTTGAAAGAAAATTTGAATATCATATTTTAATAGTCGTCTCTGAATTTTCAAAAATCGCTTAGTTTTTTTTATTAAATTTGAAGCATAAATATTTTACGCTTTGCAAAGTGGCAACGCATCGCTTTTAAATTGCTGAGTGTGTCAACCAAAATTTCATGAAGTTTGCACAAAACATGAAATTCGAAATTTCATGAAGTTTGCACAAAACATGAAATTCGAAATTCGGACTTCGAGGTGAACATGTTCAGGTATTAAACTACGTGCGCTGAAACTCTGGTGGTACTCTGGCTAAAACTTTTTTTTTTTTAATTGAACGCAAATTTCAAATTTTGCTTCATATAGAGTTTTTAACATTAAGCCTTTACTTTCTTATTTCTTGTGTGAAAGATTGGAGACTTTCGAAAATCATTTCGGATCCATATTTCAAAAAGTCCTATCTCTAAAAAATAAGCTACTTTTCCAAACAACATCAAAACTTTTTCTTGTATTTTTATATTTTAATTTAAAATCTTTATTAAAATATTTGATACAATATCTGGATATCAATTAAACTATTAATAATTACATTAAATTTAAGATTCGAACAAAATTTCTCGTCATTAAGTAGTAAAAGGAAATGTTTTTATATCACACTAAAAAATAACCGCCAAGATTTAAAAAAGAAAAAAAAAAAAAAAAAAAAAAAAAAAATCCACGGTTCTAATATTACTATCGCACTGTCATCATTGCCAGACTTTTTTCCCAATGGTGAGCTCTAACTGTTTATAGGTGTTGGCCACTACTAAGACCGGAAACGGTGATCTCTTTATTATGGAGGAACTTAACAGGTGGGCCACCGTTGGTCCCTATGAAAGGACGGGTAAAATACATCCATGCCTTCTCCGGGATTCGAGCCCGAGCCCTTTGGTACGGCAGTCAAAGGCACTAACCACTTTTCCGGACGGCATTGCCAGACTTAAATATGGTAATTGGAATTTCCAATCTTATGTCCGCATTTATTTTCATTTTTGGGGCACCTGATGTTTATGTTTTGATTCTGCAAAGTTTTGGATTATTTTCCATGTGGTTTGAGTAATAAAGCCTTTGGAAGATTAAAAATAATTTATGTGATAGTAGAAACTGGTGGTAAATTATTTGTTTTCTTCTGCCACTATAATTATAGCTGTTAAGTGGTTTAGCCAATTATCTATTTTAAATGGAACTAGGAATATACCAGTTTTGAAAACTTATTACATTCTCAAACTGTAATCAGCAGTCCCACTGCAGTCCGTTACTCATCTAATATTGTCCCAAACATACTAGTCACAGCTTCTCGGGCTGCGGTGGTCTTCCACTGCAAACTTGGACGAAAACAAGCTGATGCGGCCATGATCCCACATCCATCAGGACAGGGGAGAAAATAGGGAGATTATCCTAAAATAACCCCCGTGGGGAGAATAAAGAGGACGAAAAAATTACTTCCTGGGGGTCAAGGGGAACTGTGGCGAACATTTGGGAAAAGAACCTCGCTTCTATAAGCACTGACTAAAGAGACAGGGAAAAAATTACGTGGAGAACAAACAACACATGTTTATCATTCGTGTAGATTGTGTTTTGGGGTTCGTTGGGGAATCTCCCCTTCCCGAGCAGTGGTGATAAAGGGGTGCAGAGAAAAATGACCACAGCGATCCGCTTAATGGTCCAGCTGCTAAGGGATATTTTGCGGCAGGTTAATGACCGTCATGCACAGAAGAGTGGTCAATCTGTTACGGTTTTCTGCGGGCTAGCAGAAGTCGGTGTTTCGGACTTAGTTTCGAGATCAACATAATACAGTCGCGGAATGTTGATATGTAAACAGATAACTATATGAGTTAACAGTGATGAGCATGCGGAAAGATCTAAAATTTCTTTTCATTTTATAAAAATAATTCACGAGCTGATATCCGATTAAACCCTGTCCTTACGATATACGTCTTGATCCTGAAAAATTATTCAACAATTTCCAGCTCATTCACCGCTGCCGGTGACTCATTTTTTAAACGACCGCATTATAGCCTAAATTACTGTTCCTTCCGATAAAATTAGTTATAATCCAGAGTAGTGGAAATTTCTGTTCTTTTAATTCGATTATATAATTACAAAAACATGTGAACACAGCAATTTTTTTTTTCCCGAATATTGAACCTCAACTAGGAAGAGAAACACGCCGAAGTAAATTTCTTGCTCCTGAAGGCACCTGTGTCTGATGGCCCTCCAAATCAATAGAGTTTTATTTGAAATCTACGTCAAATGCTGTTTTTATTAATTTTAAACATTAGATTTTTATTCATTTATTAATAATCCATGCATCTATATTTAGTGTAATATGAACGCGAAGCATGTAATTAAAACTTTCTAAAATGTTTCTTATTTTCTCTTTTATGTACTTTATACGGCAATATACCACTGGTGGAGTGGTTGAATTCGCAAGACTGGAATTTGATTTTGAAAAACGACTGTGTCAATTTGCGATGTTACCTAACTTAAGTAGTAGCAAATACAGTAAAATTTTAATTTGGTATAGACCGCTTGAAAACTGGTAGTTCAACACGGGTACCAGCCAAGTCGAACGGACTAGCTGCATGGTTGGGTTTCGTCGTTTTTACCATGTGTAACGTGAATACGATGGAATTCTCTACAAAATTCCTGT